TGATGGTGAACTATTTCTGAGATGATTAGGTGAAAAAAACCCCACAACTAAACAAACAAACAAAAAACCAACCAGAAAAACAATAAAAACACTACCCTTCCCCCGCCCCCCAAGAAACCCAATACAAACCAACCTAAACCAAACAAAATGGGAGGAGAAAAAGGAGAACAGGTTTCATCCCAGAATCGCCTCACCAGCTAGACCTGCAGACCTTGATGATGGTGATGAAGTGGGAAATTGAAATAACTGACAGTACAGAAGGAGGACTTGTTGGAAAGCACGTATCTAGTTAAATCATGTGATGAAGCAGCTTTCTGCCCTCCTGCCATGCTCCTTTTGGCCAACAAGCTTGGGGCATGGGGTCTCAGGGCTCCCACTGAAGAGAGCACATGGGAACAAGCTCTTTTCTTTTGTGGCTTCAGCTGGCCTTGCATCGGGCGAGCACAGTTTGGCAGTGCTAAGGAGGGCTGCAGTAATGTACCTCATGGAAAATAACTCTGGAAAAGTTCAAAGGGATAATTCAGTTTACATTCTAGAGAGCTGATATTTGTGCTAGATCTAATCATCAGTTGTTTGTTGTTTTGATTTGGTTTTAATCAGGATCTCTCGTGGAAAAATAGTTGCCAGATCAAAACCTAGGAAATCCTAAAACCATTTTTATGGGACAGTTCTGAAGCTAATCGTCATCCATTTAAAACCATGTATTCAAATGTTTGTAAGAAGTACATCTTAAAGAGCTCAGAATAATGTTCAAAATAATTCAATGTACTTTAATACTTTTATTTCTTACAAGCATGTTTGAATGAGAAAGGTTATGTTCTAATATTTCATAGCAGAGTGTGGGCTTTGGCACAGATAAGACAATGAGGTAATTCACATCTGCTCTCAATGAAGCCCTGTTCCATTCTTACTTCACATTAATGAACCAGTATCTGAATGATTTTAAAAGGTGATGTTAGCATGAAGTATTTGGTACTTGTGGATAAATCATATTGGCTTTTTGTTTAATTATGGAAACAACAGATATAAAGCATTCCCCAAGACTAGAAGGGAAAGATTTACAGATGCAGACTTTTCCAGGGTTATCTTTGTTCTTTTGTACCTGTTCCTACTCCTTTGCAGATTTACAATGAATGTGACAGGGACTAGGTGAAAGCATGTTGTCTGTGGTTGTTGTCCAGCTTTACAGAATACCCCTTTTTTTTTCTGCTATGAAATGGCAAATAAATGTCTAATGTCAATCAATTCACAGAAAAGAGGATATAAAATCTTAATCATATGTCTTCTAATACAGTCCCCTCCTGAGGTGAACAGAAGAGTCCTGAAATGTCACAACTTGACTATAGCATTTAGACAAATAATTCTTTAAATACAATGAAAGCAGTATCAAAGGCACATATAGGACACTAGTGTTTTCTCATATGGTGGTAATCTCAATATTCCATTAATTTAATTTAAAAATTGTGGGATACATAGTGTTTTTTTTATGCAGAACTTGCATCCTAATGTATACTGGATGGGGCTTTGAGCAGCCTGGTCTAGTGGAGGTTGTCCCTGCCCATGGCAGGAGGCTGGAATTGGATGAACTTTAAGGTCCCTTCCAACCCAAATCATTCTATCATTCTATGATATAGTGCATACCCATGTGTATATAAATTGTTACATGATTAATGTATTGTTATGTTTACATTGCTCTTTTAAGACAAAATTCAGAGTCACTGAATGCTAACCATATTTCACGCTACAGGAACATTTCCCTTTCCCTTTTGTGTTGTGAAGAAGTCAGTAGATTGACCTTACCCCAGGTGGATGCTGCAGAACAGGGTAATCAGTGTGAAAACATAGTTTCCCGGTTGTATAAGCTACATTGTTAGCATCTGCTTTGTCTTGCACTTGCCAAGTTGGTCTTTATAATGAAAGGAAAAAGAGATAACAGGTTAAAACAGCCAGCCTACATGCCAGACAGTACACATTGAAACTGTAAAATCACAATATAAAAGAGTCATTACGCCTTTGAACATGAAAATATTGTACAACTAGAAGGAAAATATTATTTAGCAGTGTTCCCCTCTTCCAGCAGAGAAGGCTTATTCCGGCAGTCCTAGGTTCAAGCTAGAAACCTAAGTGTGCCAAGGGACATCTGGCCCCAGTATAGTATCTAGAAGAATGATGGCTTTCCACTGGCAGTACTTTGCTGAATGCAGGAATCAGCTGAAGACTCTAACCAAGAGGTATCTCTCTGCTAAGTTAAATCATCATCTTATTACCAATGCTTCAGAAATAAGAGAGTGGAAGTTGGTCCATTTCCTTTAATCAATGTTCCATTTTTTCCCTGCCCTGTGGAGCAATTTGTCAATGAAATATGAAATTGTAAAAGGCTATGTAAAGTAAAAAAAATTATATTTTAAAATCTTTATATTTATGTATACATATATAGAGAGAGACAGACCGTCCTTTGCAGGGGGATCTTTCCTGTAGCTTCAAGACTTGATGCTAAAGGAAAAAGAACTTCACAGAAATTGTAGAATCCCCGACTGGTTTGAGTTGGAAAGGACCTTACAGCTTATGCAGTTCCAACCCGCTGCCATGGACAGGGACACCTTCCACTAGAGCAGGTTGCTCCAAGCCCCGTCCAACCTGGCCTTGAACACTGCCAGGGATGGGGCAGCCACAGCTTCTCTGGGCAACCTGTGCCAGCGCCTCACCACCCTCACAGGGAAGAACTTCTTCCCAATATATAACCCAGACTTCGCCTCTGTCAGTTTAAAGTCATTCCCCCTTATCCTGTCGCTACAGGCCCTTGTCAGAAGTATTGATGAAAAAGTGTTAATAAAAGACTTAATAGTTTCTTCTCTTTCTCCGACGCTCTTTCAAAGAACTACCCCCCTTTATTTTGTTTAGTTTCTGTCTTGAAATTTGTATTTTGTTTAGTTTCTGTATTTTATTTAGTTTCTGTCTTGAAATTTGACCAAATCGATTAAGACAGTTTACTGACAACTACAGGGGAAACAGAAAAAAAAGTCTTAGCTTTATGACAAAAACATGAATACGTAGCATTGCAGTGCAATCAAAATCTGTTTTGAATGACAACCCTGCAGGAGAATTTAAGACCAACAAAGACATGTTTTGCTTGTACAGAGTTCACATGATTGAAGACAGTCTTCAGCAGATGCATGTTATAGGTACAGATGTTTGTCTGGAAAAGTGTAAGTCACCATATGCAGCCCATGTCATCACAGGAGCATAGTGATTTAAAAGAAAATATGGAACTATAGACCAAATATATTATGTTTTGGATGGTGTGTGCCTAGCATAACTTCTGAACAATAGCTGAGATAAAAAACAGGCTAAAGAGCATTCAGACCAAAATGGTCTTATACAATACAGAAACACTTTTGTTCTTGGAGTTCTATTTAATATAGAAACAATGCAATATGCTAAAACCAAATTTTTTTAATTGCCAGGGGAAAAACCCATTGAATATTTGCAGATACGTTTTACTGACTGGGAAAAAGATTTTGTATTATTTGCCACAGCACATACTCATCAGTACATGACATCAGTACTCAGGCATGATAATTTCAACCACACTTCCACAGCCCCCTATTTTACAGCCAAAGCCCAGCCTGCTATATCATCCTTGTTATTAGTGTTCAAGGCAGGTAAGTTCACTATATCTTTAATTTAAAAGGCTCCAGTGTAACTTGATGGTTCTAAAACAAATTAACACATTTTAATTGTCCCATTTATATGCAATTTATGCAATTGCTAGAATGGTAGTACTTTATGATATCACTGTCAGGTTTTGCAAAAGCAATCAGTGCTTTCATGCTGTTACTCTTTGAGAGAGGAGCTGGTCCCTGGTAGCTTTCCTTACGCACAACGAGTTTTGGACAAAGCTCAAGTTACTGACTTGAAGTCAGAGATGCTAATAGGGAGCTCAGCACTGAATGTGAAAAAAATCAACCTTACTTTGTCAGACTCAGCTCTCCCTCAGTCATAGGCAGAGCACACAAGAAGTAATGGAAGTAAAGAAGGAAGAAAACGTGGTTAATGTCAGAGGACTCTTGGCCCTTCAAGAGAGTAAAGTGGGGCGGAATGGTTTATGGTTTAGTAATTAGGGTCAGATTCCAACAGCAGTTGCTCAGGCTGATTGACAGAGGAGAAAATTTGGCACCAGGTAGGTGTAGCAATTTTTTTGCAGTAAGTGGCAATGTGGGATCAGTCTCCCTGAGCAGAACACTGATCTGTTTGGTACATCCTTATCCTTGCAGCACCACTGCGCTAGAAACTTGAGTCACATGTGAATCATGTGGTCTTGCATGTTATTAAACCTCTAAGTCTCATTCATAAGAGACTTAGATTTCGGGACCCATGTTCTCCTCTTGTAGCTGAAGTGCTCTGAGAGGTGCAGATGTTTCAGCTATTTCATTGGGGGTGCTGCACCCCAAAAGAAGCCCTTCATGCCACCCCAAGCCCTGGAGAGATCTTCAGAACAAGGGAGGAGCACAGGGTCTAGGGCATGAGAAGTCAGAGCAATTAATTGTGGTACAGCTGGAGATCTTGTTAACTGAGTTGTGCCTTTGTAACATAAAGAAAAAGGTTAATTTAAAAGCATGGAACCCATTGTGGTGTTATATGGCTGAAACAGAGAATGTTTCCACTTTTTACAGTAATGACATTTTAGGTAGCATGTACCAAACAGGCATTTAGACAGGAAAAATGTCTTTTGTTTTCCCATGTGTCAGGGTTATATTCATTGCTGTTACATTTCAGCTTAAAATTCATGGTCCTGTTGAGGTGATGTTTTATTTGGCAAACTTGCCAGTTCCAAATGTATCCTTTTATTTATCCTTTTATTTTTTTTTTTTAATCCTTTTTGGTAGGCCTTGTATTTGGCTGCTAGTGGAACAGCAAGGGAATTACCTAAAGCTATTATTTATTACAGTTGTAAAAACCACCTCAGACTTGGATGTAAGAAATGCATTTCTGTTTTAGAGGTAAAGAGATGGACTGTAAAATGCTGCTCTAAGTCTGTTGTTAAGACTGAAACTTCAGTGGAGTTTTGCTGCTGTGAGAAATATGTAAAACCAAGACCAGGCACTATAATAACTAAAGCTGAAAATGAAACAGGTTAAATCAGGAAAAAAGAAAGAAGTCTTTTCTTCTTGCTAAGATTTTTAGGCTGGGTTCCAGCTATACATGGTGAAAAAAATAAGGAATTTGTTCCTTATAAAAGACTTACCATCTCCAAATATCCAAAAAATAAAGCAAAACCATTAAAGGCTTTTTCAAGACTTCATATAATGAATTACACATTTAACAGCACTGGGTTGTTAAGCTGTTTGAATACATTTCTCTAACTGATTTCTGATAGCATGTTACCACTTCATACACATTTGTGCTAAAACATTTGAAACTAGTTTTTTACTTATATTTTTTTAAAAATACTTTATGGGTAGTTTCTTGAACCACTACACATAACAACACAAAGTTTATGCACCGTCCTGCTTGTATTTTCCAGTATTTTAGGATTTCCTCCCTCTTTCTCTTCCCAGTGTCTAAAGAGTCATGCAAGCAGATGATACTAGCTTTTGCAAGATGTTTCCCATAGACTTCATCCAAGGCCAGGATAACTCAATGGCACTGGTAGGCAGTGTCCTTCTAAGGACTCAAGAAAGCTTTCGGTCAAGGCTCATCTATTGATGTAAGAAACTCATCTTGTACATCTCCTTGACAGGATAATAGTGCTGTGCAGTTCTGGCAGCTTGAATAGGTGTGCTTTTGTATAGTCTTAACAAAGGCATCCTTGCAGTGCATATTGGAGACAGCTAAAAGATGTCTGAACTGGAGATGTGAAAGCCAAGATATAAGGAATATCACACTTGCCCCAAATAAGCTCATAGGTCTGGCTCCAAACTCCACAGCAGGCTGCCTTTGTATGTACAGTTAATTTCTCTCCTTGCAAGTTAGCAAGGTATTCTGAAAAAGAAAGTGTCTTCAACAGTTCTGGTTCCTTTCCCAAAAGTCTTGGCTCTGCTGATATGTGCATTGTATCGTACACATCCTATCCGTTTTATAACTGCCCTTCCTTTAGCACTGGCTGAGGCACTCTTGTTTTCAGACCTGGACCTTGGCCTGTACATAGCTTGTTGACTTCACCCTGTGTCAGAGCTGGTTTTTGTTACTTGAAAACCAGACTAGTCTGCAAAACTGGTCTTTAGATGTCAGGCTCTCTTTGTTCTTATGCTCTTCAGATTTTAATTTAATATTGCAAAATCTACCTAATCATACACAGAAACAAAATTAGCAACTGTCAATTGACCTAGAGTAAATCTAACCATGGTCACTCAACTGGGGTGATGTAAACCAGACTTCAAGACTTTCCAAAACTACAGCTGTGTTTAAAAAGCAAAAAAGAAAAAAACCCTGAACTCAACTAACCTAAATATTCCTACTAAGTATATTTTCTTTTAAATGCAGAATTCATAGGCAATTGGAAAACTTCCACAACACTGAAGCCCTCTTTCTGCAGCCTAATAAATACATGAACTAGCAAATAGGTTTTTGGAAAAGTAAGGAGACTTGCAGCCTTTCATCATTCCTTTATTGTGAACCCTAATAGTTAAGGAAACATAAAATTAAGGTTTAATCAACACCAAAATTAAAGCTGATTTAAACAGTGAAAGGAGCTTTAACCATTACTTGCTCAAATGGTTTAGACCAAAGTCACATTTCAACCTTGACCTTGTGTGAAACATTAACAGGCAGGAGGCTCTTTGTAGGATATAAAGACCTTTAAATGTATATATGTATATATAGATATCAAAGACTCAGAACTCATCCTGACAAATTACTTCTATTGAAAACATCAATTAAGAGATTGAACATTCATTCAAGCTGACTTCAAACAAGGTGAAGTATTTATTAGTAATTCCTATTTTTAATTGTGCTAGGGAAGAGTCAGTGAGGGGCAAGAGTAACCTTTTTTCAATTGGAAAAAATCCCATTTTGAAGTCTCCCTAAGACAGCCTTGGGAGCTGAACTTAGATTAGGAAAGTGTATCCTAACAGTTTATGCACATTTATACAGTAAAGGACTTTTCAGTCTCTCTTAAACATAGGAGAGTTATCACAAGCTGGATGTTGCAGACAGCTTCTAACAGACACTTGGCAGTCATTTTAAACAATGAGGATGACAAAGGGCTGAGGCAGAGTACCAGGCAGAATGTAGGTTTTGTGTTAATCTTACAATGCTGCTGAGTTAAATAGCAAAACCTTTTGAATACCTTATTGAAAAGCATGTTACAGCGCTCAGTGGATGGGCAATAGGTGAGCGGGCTGCCACATTGAGAAAGTTAGTCTAGAAGATTTAAAGATCTTTTTCAGTTTTAGGATTGAGGAACTTCTAGATTGAGTTCCTCATCCCTGAAACCCAGGCAAACAACTAAAGGTTTTGTTGTAACCCAGGCACAAACCTGTGGTATGTGTTGAAGGGGCTGTATGGGGGTTTTGGTTGTTATTTAGGTTTTGGGTGGTTTTTCCCCTCTCTCCTGAGCTATTTTGGAGATACATAATATTTTCTTTTAGTAGTATGCTTCAACAAACAACCAACATTTTTTCATCTTATCTGGGGTTTGCTATATTTGTTCCTAATTCAAAATGCTTGTGCAGCTGTTTGGGTACAAACAGGACAAATGTTTCACCCTTCAGGTATTGAGGAAAGCTGTGAAACATCCTCAGATATGGTCAGGATTGGATGCCCCTAAGAATCATCTTGTATCTGTAATTAGGATCACATTAAAACAGAAATTGAAAGCAGCAGTGTTTTCATAATGATGCAAGTTTTAAATTGAGACCATAGTAGACTGCCAAAGGCAGAAGTGCATGGCATTAAGAATGCTTTTAGTGGTAGAAAATGTTGTGTAGCACTGGATGAGGTTTCTGAGTTGAGCAGGGGACTCTCCTCCTATGTATTTCAGTAGGATTAACCTGACTGAATCCCAGTTGACTTTTCCTTCTGGCACAGTAAGCAGAAAGAGGAAGCCACACCTTAATAAAAATACATTATCTTGACTAGCCTGGCACGTTTATAGATTACTCAAGCATCCTAGCTTGAAGAAGGGACCTTTTAGATCACCTTCCTCCCCTTCACCTCACAATTAACATTCTGAGTTAACGTAATTTTCCTGGTATCACAGTGCCGTTTTACCACCCTCATGGGAGTCACATATTGCAGCAGGGCCCATATATGCCTTCACACAGGAGTCTTAAGGGGAGAAAATCTTTCCTCCTAACTTGAGCGAATGTGGTCTTTCTGGCCAAGGGTGAAGGTTTTTCACCCACTTCTGTTTGTTTAACTGTTGGCTTTTGGGTTTCAGTCCCAAACACATAACACTGGTTTGTTTCCTTATTCTCTGAACTAGAGGTAAATCCAGTTTGTCATATTTTTTTTTTCTATTATAGGGGAGAAGGGACCTTTTTATAACTGAAATCCTGAATGTTCTGGGTTTGGCAGCTATTCAGGCATCAAGAAATCACAATTATGTTTAAATGTTCTATCCGGTTTGTTTAAGTGTTACTTGCTATTTTTATAACTTTTTTTTTTTTTTTTTTTTTGACAAAGCACACATCCAAGTAATAAGGTTACTGTAAAAAAAATCATCCCAACAGCTGGGGGTGAGAGACAGGGCAACATGTCAGCTAGTAACACTGCTCCTTCACTCAGCTACATGGAGGTCACTGACTCAGCTCAGCAAGACCTGAGCTACCATGGTCATTTTTTTACTCAGGTAATAGATTCTTGAGGTGAGGTTCAGTTTGTCACCTCTTAGCAGCAGTAGGGTGATTTACAAGTTCCTGCTTGCTCTCCTGCAGGCTGAGCAATTACTTCTGGATAAAAAGCAGTCTTAAAAAATGCCTGTTGGGACTGGCTGGAGCTTTCCAGAGCAGACTCAGTCGGAAGCAGGGAATGGGTACCCTGCCCACCTCCCCAGTGATGGGAGGCTCAATAACATCATCTGTGTCTTACCTATTTCCATGACTGGAAATCAGGCTAAGAAGAGGTTTCAGTACAGATAACTTCCTTTTTTTCAAAAGGGCACTGGATTAAGGGATTTTTGATTTTGTTCCATGGTATAGATAAGTACTGCTATCTTGTGGTAATCTTTTATTTGACATCATCTCTTTTTAGGCATTTTCCTTCTCTCAGCAGTTATAGTTGTTCTTTACATACTCTGCCTGTCACAGCAAAACAATCTTCTCATACAGACCCTTGACACCACATTTTCTAATATGCAGAGAAAAAAAAAAATCAGCTTTTCTTAACTTAATCCACAAACAGGTCCAGCAAGCTGAAGTGAAGGATGTTAGAGGTGGTTACATAGCCAGCAAAGCAGGGATATTAAAAAAACAAACTCACCCATAAAAAGTGAGACGCAGAAACCCAATCCTGTGGCCAAGTTTAATCAACTCTCCCTGCCTAGCAGCAGCTCCTGTTAGTATCACAATTCCTACTTTCTTTAAGGTGCACAGCCACCTGTAGGCACTTTCATCATTGTATATGATTTCTTCAAAAGGCATTTTGGGAAGTTGCAGGTCGGAGCCCCAGTACTGATGCTCTGAAAGGGAAGAAATAGAGAAGCAAGTGCTTAGCTGTTGTAGCATCACAGCTCAGGACATTGAAGTATGAAGTTAGTGGGGTTTGTATGTGTTTGTGAATATGCCCTCAATCCTGCAGTCAGCCACCTGAAACTAGGTCCCTAAGTTTGCATGGGTGACAAGAAAAGTTTTGATAAAGGGATAGATGCCACAACTCATTAAAGTTGTAAAGTACATATGCTTTTATTCAGCGCTGAGATGCATGGGGGATAGCTCCTCCAAAGGCATGCATGCCTCAGTGTTGTTTCTCTCTGCATTTATTCTCTAAAGTTATATATATTCATAAGGCTGCACAATACACCTATACATATTCATGTGCTATCCCCGCATGGTATTATAATGAGCTAGAAGGTCCTTTGTACCTGGCAGTGCCCCCCCCCGGTCATGGGCGAGGGTCTCAAGATGAAGTAAATGAGTCTTCCTCTTGTGAGCAGGGGTCTTCAAGATGAAGTAAATGAGTCTTCCTGGAGCCTGAACTTTTCACCTCTAGCCATCACGCCTGCTCTTTAGGAGTCTGGTCAAAGTCCAAACCACAAAGCTGGTCTTCACTGGAACTGAG